TATCCCAACTTTCGAGACATGTATATTCTGATTTTGAGGACAAAATCCTAAAAAGGTGGGGTGAATGTAAGAACCTGCACCGTTAATTAAGGAAATTAATCAGTTAATTATGAGTTTAATGAGATAATTCCATAATTGATCATATTAATTATTATGAGGCTCTAATAATTATAGTAAGTGAGTAATAATGCTGAAAGTCGCTTTTCTGACGAAAAGTGCAGATACCGGTTCTGCTAGTCGGTATAAATGCGTACCGAAAAAGTATCCCAGAAAATTATAAAAAGTACATGATAATTACTAGAATAATATGTAGGACTTGTAAAACGAGTTTCAAGTTAAAATAATGAGAACTGGTGCCAGAAACTGATATTGGCTATGAAAAGCGCGTACCGGAAAGGTGCTCCGAAAAATATGATAATTCTTGTAAAATTGAGTAGGTTAAGAATCCTGAGTTTGGGATTAAAATGCTAAGCGTAGCATTTAAAGCTAATACTGTGTGTTAGTGACTTAAACCGCCTATATATAGTGCTTGGCATTAAAACCTAGGTTGATACTCAGCCATTTGGACGTGAGTGGCTGCTGGTGGCTGCTGCTCTCTGCCTTCTCCACCATTTCTTGACTTTCCTTGTAGCTTTTCTTCACATTTCCTTCACCAATCATCCTTGTGTGAGTGAGATAGAGCCTTGGGAGTGGGTGGGAGACCTTCTTGCTGAGTTGGAGCTGCTGTGTGAGGGGTTGTGGTTGCTGCCTCTGTGTTTGTGAAGGGAGTACACCTTTGGCTTGGCATTTGTGGTGCCAAGGAGTCACCTTTTGGTGCAAGAACCAACCTTTGGTGGAGTATCTTCGTTTTGGGACCAAGTCAGAACCTTGGGAGTTGGTTGTGAACTCCAAGAGCCTCCCATTTCTGAGTTTGAAGCTTTGGTGAGTTGCCTAACCTCGATCATGAGTTTAAATGATTTAAATGTGGTGTCTTTGCATGTAAATGGGTTAAGCAAGTAACTAACATGTGTATGAACCTGTATAGACCTAAAAATGGAGTCTTGAACGCATTTAATTGGTAAAAGTTGGACCTTTGTTGGATATCTTCGCGAAATGCAGAAATTGCATTCTGTCGCGAAATATCCGGATATTTGGTCGATAAATATCCGGATATCCATATCCGGATATGGATATTTGGATATCCATATACGGATATTGCCAGTGAGATATCCGGATATTGTTATCCGGATATGCCTCCGACAGATATCTGGATATGCTGAGTTTGCGAGGAACAGTAGCTTACTGTTCAACCAAAACTGATGTTTGGGGGTTTGTGGACCCTAGATTGATGAAGTTGAACTTCTGTAATAATTGGACTAAGTCAGAATCAAGTGATTAAGGGCTTATGGCTTTGTGGGAAGCCTTAAGACGTAAAACGTAAAAGGAAAACGTAAATCAGATTGTGATTTGCTGTGTTTGGACATTGAGCTTGTGTGGACTTGACTTGGATTGATTGCTTAAGAGGTAAGCTTTCGTGTTCTCGGTTAGCCATGTTGTGGTTCCACCATGTCCCATGGGGGTATGATTATATGCATGCTGTGTTACATGCTTTGAATATTTGAAATGTTGTTGAGCTTTACGGGTAATGGCTTTTAATATGCATGTGTTGTTCCATCTTGACGGTAAGCCTGAGTATGTGGCGTCATACAAGACGGTGATTCGGGGTGGATGTAAGTGGCGTCTTGCACTATGTGTGGGTATTTGACGTATATAAATCCTGTATTTCTCTGGCCAGTAGAATAGAATTGACACACATGACATGATTATCTGCTGCATTGCACTATTTTAGAACTGATGATGATAAACTGCTTTTGAACTTATATTGCACATGTAAGTGAGCTTGGGGTGGAAGATCCTTGAGGACCCCTTGCCTTACTGAGATTTCTTGTTTAGAGATTCACCCCACGTTTGGGGAATGCTTATTTCAGGTTCAGGTAGTATGGGAACTGATGCCTCTGGCGGTAGGAGGCCAGAGCTTAGTTGATGTTTAGTGCTGTTCATATTATGCTGGCATGACTGGATTGAATGCTGTTTATATTTTCTGTCATTTATGATTATTGAGTTGAGACTTATGTTGGGCTTTGTTGCCTTATTTGGATGAGCATAAGAGTTGTCCATGCCACTATGTTGTCAGTACTTTTGAGTTGAGTTGTATAAACTGTTAGATGATCCGGTCTACGTATTGTAGTTCCGTGACTAGAGACTCTTACTTATGTTATTTAATTAATGAGGTATTTCAGTTAGCTGTTTATTGCAATGTACATACAGACGATATTTTAAAAATGGTTAAGTAATCAAGTTGGTAATGATTAATGACATCATAATTGGAAAGAAAAAGATATTCCGCATTTTTATGTGTAATTTTTTTTAAATAAATGTTTTCTTCTTGAGTTGCTTAACTTTTTTTGCTAGTTTTTTGTTTGGAAGTTTGAGTCAATTGACTACTATAATAGACATGATAAAAAATAATACTTATTTGTTCTTTAATTGTAGAGAAGTTTGGTTATGAATAACCATAGATAACCAATTATTTTTATGATTTGGTAAATAACTAGTTTATAAAATATAATGTAGTTTCATATGAAATCGATTTTTAAAAATAACTGGTTTTTAAAATGTGAAGCAGTTTGGTTATATATCAATTTGGTTCTTTTGTACATTTTGAACACCCTACCAAGCACATATAAACCTCGAACTCCACGTTGTCATCCATTAATAATACCAACTACAAAATGAAAATCCAAACTTTGATATCTAAAAAACATTCCAAAAACATAAAACAAAACAGGAAATCTTTAAAAGTTGATTGATTTAACCACCTATTACATTAAAAATAGGAAGGCATTAGACATCATATTCCATGCTAAGGGAAATGGTTATCAAAACATTATTGTAAAAAAGAGCGATTTCATTACATTGTTCGAATGCAAAATATCTGAATCGAACATCAGATTTTAAAGCCCAGTCTAGGTGAAGAATAAACTACTAAAATAATTCAAACTTATCAATATTATCATTTACAGGACACACCCACACAAAACGATAAAGCAGTCAAGGAAGTTTAACTAACATGCTTAAATGTTGAATTCACAAAATATAAGTAGGTAAATTGCTTAAATTCAAAGTACAGAGTGATATTTAGAAACAAGACCAAAGTACATGGTGCCAATTTGTAATTTGGTCCACTCTTTTAATTGGAACCAAAATTTGTGGTTTTTTTAATCTCGTATTTAGTTTCATGTTATTTTAAAAATATATTAAACATATAATAAAATACGTAAGTTCTGTCTTATTTGAAAGTAATATGCTTACGAAATGTTAATTAAAGCAAATTACAAGTTTGTGAAATTTCAATTTTTGACAAATATGAAATTTTAAATTCAAAATTCAAATTCTTGAATTTATGATACAACCCAAATATATTTAGTCATAAGTTATTTTATTTACATTTTTCATACATACTTCACCTACTACTCTCTTTTCTTAAAATTCTGATTTAATGATGTTAAAAAATGATAAATAAAATAGATATGAAAAAAAAGTAACTAGAATAACTTATCTTATATATTTAATGTTGCATTTTATTTTATTATTTTATTTCATTTGAACACCGTGTTTCAAAATAGTTAAAACAGTTTAACAAGAAATAAGATAATTGCTTATACATGGGCATGAAGTACAAAGCACGTTCAATACAAATTATGAGCAGTACATACAGCGAAACTTCTTTCAACTGAAGCAGCATTTAAGGACAGTTTCAAAACAGTTGTAACCACAGGGTGACGAAATTATATTAAAACCATACTAGGAGAGTTTGATAAAATAAAGTGGAACACAAGTAATCTGATGATAATTTTACTAATCCAAATTATTTCTGAAATTTGATATCAAAATACGAGATTCTGTGAATTAAAAATCATGTATAGGAGAAAAATTTCAGTGATCTCGGATTATTATAGATTCAGTGATCCGAATCAATTAAAATTAGATAATTATTGGAGAGAAAGAAAATGAAATTTATTTTTTATCCAAATGTCACCCAATAAATGAATGGAACACATGAGTCTGGAGCACCAATTTTTTTTCTCAATTTCAAAAAACTCAGAAAAAAATATGTAAGAAATGGATATATTTGAACCACCCAAGTAAATAGAGGAACCACACCAATCTATCCCGGATTTGGTAGTTAAACTCTATTGCAGTGACGATACTGTAGGGGAGGTCTCGTGGAAAAATAGCTTGGCGCCAGGAGGATAAAAATAAAGCTTAACACCTACTTTCTTTTTTTGATTACCTTTTTCGCATATGTATAAGATCGAATCCATTCGATTTTGAATTTTCAAAAAGATTATGAATAACTGATTCTTCCCGAGGCGTAGCAGTTGACTGGACATCTAGTGGTGAAGGACTGTTTCAGTGCGGGCCACGAGAGCGGGATCAAATCGAGGCAAACTCTGAATACCTAGATATGACCTCTAAATAACAAGATAATAGATTTTATTTCTTTTACTTGAGAAATTTTTCCTTTCATTCTCATTTCAATTTTCATATTCTATTTTTTTTAAGTAAAGTGGGTGGGTTTCATTCTTTGCTTTATGTGTAGGTGACAAAATTTATTTTGAATGACACATGACTGAAATAAAATCCATTTAGTAATTTTATGCATTAGTTATCATTTTTAATTCTCCAAAAATATAATGGGTAAATTATTTATCCTTTTAAATTCATAACTTATATCCTTTCACTACTCACAAAGAGGTAGAACTCACACTTTTATTTTTGTTGTCAACGCTCTTTTCTTCTTTATTTATCTCTTTCTCTTTTTAAAATGACACCACTTTATATCCGTTAAAATAACACACACTCTGCCCAAATATAATTGGCAATAACTTAACATTATCACAATCCGAATTAAAATGGTTAAACAAATCAAATCAAATACAATCTGAGTTCACCGAAACAGTCAAAATAATTGTTCTTTTGTTTTGTTTTTGTTTTGGTTTTTCCCATTACTCTAACTCAGTTAGCCATGGAGGAATCAGCACCGCAACCACCACTGCCGCCGATGACGATCGACGGCGCCGACATAGACGCGGCGCTGGCGAAGTCGCACGTGCTGACCCGGCGCGAGGTTATCGAGCGGCGGCTCCGCCGTGTCAAGCAACTCTCGCGGTACTATCGGCGCCACTACTGGGCCCTTATGGAAGAACTCAAGCACAAGTACAAAGAATATTACTGGATCTACGGTAAGAGTCCTTTCAAGGAGGATGAGAACCTCCCAAACGGCACCGTCGTTTCGGGGGGCAACGCAAACGGCACCGAGAATACTGCCGTTTCGGACGATATCGTTCGGTGCGCTTTTGGTGGGTGCAAGACGAAGGCTATGGCGCTCACAAGGTTCTGTCACGCTCATATACTGTTGGATTCCAAACAGAGTCTTTATCTGGGATGCAGCACCGTCGCCAAAAAGTGAGTTTTTTTTTTTTTTTTTTTTAATTTCTTGTTTTATGTGTTTGCTTGCATTTGGGGAATGTTCTAGATGATGGGAACGTGAAGTGAAATAGTGAATCTTGAACAAAAAGTTGTAAGAGGATGTTCGAATAATTGGGTTTCTTGCAGTTTGGAAAATAGTGTGATTTCTGGGATAGTTATGTAGAAGAAGCAAAGATGGGGTTTTTAATTTCTTTATTATTTTGTAATTTTCTTTTTTATTTTGTTGGTTTCTTTTTTCTCTTCTGAGAATCGGTTGTGGCTTTGGAAAAGATTAATTAGGGCACTTGAGGAAATGATATGTGTTGTGGTTGGTGTAGTTTAACAGAGTTTTGCAAGTAGACGAGAAAAATGGGTGAATGTTACTTTTGTGCTGTGCCTATTGTTATTGGTTACTGTTTTTTCCTTTCTTCCTGAATAAACGGTTTTCGTTTTCCTCTTTAGTTTTGAATGATCGATACCTATTTAATTCACTTTTTTTTTTTTTTTGAGTTAAATCATAAGAGCTTTTAGTTCTTGTTTCAATGATATAATCTCAATGTGATGGGCACTCTTTTTGTCAAAGACATCATTTTATTGCTCCCACCTCAATCTTTGTTCCGTTCTTGGACAGAAACAAGATAAATAGCTCTACTTACCAATAGAAATCGATATCTTACCTTGTGACGAGTGATGTCTTATGGCACTTGCCTAACTTCTGTTAATAGTCTAGTTCATGGATTATGTGAGAGGGACAAGTTTGATTCAAAATTCTTGAGAATATACAATAATTTCACTTTATTGATCAACCATGTTTTTCAGATATTGTCACCTTAGCTTACATACTGAAATATCACCTGCAAAACTTCCAACACACATCTGTAGACTTCAGTTCTTGATCTAGTTGTGTGTCATGGCAGCATACATGTAAAAAATTGTTCACTTCACCACCTCCCCAACGCACCATCTTGCACTCTTCAGTTTTTAGATTCTATACAGAAAACCATTCTATTCAAAACTTGGACTTTTGTGCTTATCTTGCTAATTTAATGTATTGGAATATTGGGTCCTTGTTCCAATTGATAAATTGATTTTTCGTCCTTTTCCATTTCCATGCACCGGATATTGTCTAGTGCAGACAGTTTTACTGATGAGATTTTTGGCTTTTATGCAGTTTACCAACAGGGCCTTCTTTTTGTAATAAGCCAGTATTGAGGTCCGTGGTTCCTCGTGCATGCCCCAGTCATTACCAATTAGGTGAAAAGTGTTTGCTTCGTGCAGTAAAAAGGGCAGGTTTTAATATCCCAGCTAATCGTAAGCCTAATCCCAAGTTACATGTAGTAATTCCTGAATTTGTCCGCCATATTCAAAACAAACGAAAAATTGCACGAAGGGCAGCTGTACCTAAGCATGAGACTGAATAAAAAAACAAGATTAAGTTGCTGTTATTGAAAACATTATTGATTACAAAGTAAATAGGGTGGGCAGATTCCAAATTCTGAGAAACAAGATTATGATTTGGTGTTGAAGCATCAAGTGTCAATAAAAAATATGTACGTAGATGCCTGTAAATTGTGAGTACTCTTGGCATGTCCTTAAATCTTTGTTTTTGTTTTTGTTTGTTTTGTTTATTCTTGCCTGTATATTGTGAGTACTCTTGGCATGTCCTTAAATTTTTGTTTTTGTTTTTGTTTTTGTTTGTTTTGTTTATTCTTGCTCAGTCATTTTACTCTTTGTTGACACCCTATGAGCAGCATCACGGTATATTCAATTGTACATGTTATTAACAATGGGAATTTGTTTGCATGGATTGAGAATCTAAGCCCTAAAGTTTATATTCTTGATGATCACTTGGCAAAATCATTTCACTGTAGTGCATGGGCTTGTTTTTTCTTAAATGAATAAGAATACAAAAAATGTGTGATGATTTCATTTTATCTGTTTAAATTTTGAGATTTCCTTTATGGCTCATTGATGATTTGGATATACCATTTCAGAGACATTTTAAATTTCTATTCTTGCGAGAACCCAAAGAGATGGAATTGGGAAACCAAGTGCAATTAAATTTCATCTACCTGCATGTTCACAGGCATGTAAGGGATATTCATGACAGTTCTGTTATTTTTTGTTCTTGCATTGCAAATCGCCCTAGCTTTTAACAGTAATAAGGAATATAAATGGCTACGAATTCCTTGTGTTATAGCTCCGTCTCTAAATGATGAAATGCTGACTGCTCTTCATAAATACAGTGATAAGTCGTGTGTTCAGATGCTATTGATATCAGTATCTGGAAACTCTGATATCAATAGAATACCTGAACCTCATTATTTATATGGTAGTTACAAATTCTATTGTATAAGTTGTTTTGCTGCAGGACTTTTGATTTGTGAGTGCTCTGTTGTGGTTTTTACACTTGAACTCCATATTTACGAACAGTGAAGTGTAATTCTGATTTTCAAAAATATCCTCATATTCAGGTTATTTGAATAGTTTCTAAGAGCAGTCTTTAGTAGTTGGTGATTATGGGCCAGGCTTTTTCAAGTTTAAGCTATTGTCTGGGCCTGGGTTATGCCAGGAGCTTGTACTTACAGATATTTTTTCTTAGCTTTTAAATCAAAACAAACTTAAAGAGGAACAACCAGTAACATTTTGCATATTTGTATGGGGTCTAGTGCTTCTCATGTCATAGGAGATAAATTTATCTTTTACACATATAAAAGTGTATAGGATTCATATTCTCTCTCTCTCTCTCTTCCTCATATTGACTCATATGAGCTCCACACATTTTTATGTGTGTGTAGGAGATAAATTTATCTCTGAGAAACATTAAATCCATTTGTAAGACATGGTACGCAAGCTAGTTAAAATTATGTTTGTATATAACAGGTTTTTATATGAAAAGATGAAGTGATCATTAAAATTAATAAATTAATATGTAATATTATGCACTTTGCTGGGCCTTTAAACAGATCTTGAGCCTAATCAGTATTTTTAATCTTGTCTGGTTTGTTAATTTGGACCTTGGCTCTGTGACCTTGACAAGAGGCTTTCTGTAAAATCCCAATAACAATAGGGCATTGAATAACTGCATGTCATCTTTCATTTTAGTTAGTTAGTTAGATATTGTATTTATAAAATAAAACCATAGGCAGAAATGTTTTCCCATTTACATTCTTTTCACCGTTAACTGGGAACACCTTTTCCAAATCATGCAATCAGTTTCAGCTGGAGGGAGGTTCGGACTAGTTGCAGCAGTTTCCCTGCCACTTGTAGTATCTTCCCAAATTATCTTTGGATATTGCGTTTGCTGTCGGAACTAACCTATTTGTTAAAGGATATCTGATGAGAACTCTGAGTTTTATCTACCTTCGTCAGCTATTAGACTTTTCTTGAGGGTAATAGGTCCTTCATAGAACTTTCCTCCTTCTGAGGTTCTTTTTTGCAGAGCTATTTCCTTTCTGGTACTGGATAGTATTTACAATTTCTTTGTCAGAAAATAAACATGGAATGAAGTAGAAAAATGTTTGGCTGGATGCTTTCAATATTCTTTTCGAGCTTATCTCAAAAACTACTGTTTTTTTTTTTTGGTGCAAGTACCAAAAAGGAAAAAAGATTCAAGACAAGTAGCCTTTGAAATAACCTAGAATTTATAATTAAAAGCCAATGCAAACATAAAGTTACAGGAACAAAAAATTACGTAAATACTTCCATAAATGTTGCTTCTATAACATAAGATTAGAAAATAGTATATCTATTGATGTAAACAAAATCTAAATATAATAGATGTTCTGGTTTTGATTGTGCACCAAATTGACTGAGTCCTATAGCAAATGTTGTTGTTCAAATGTTGACTTAATGATGGGCCTGAACAGCATGATGATAATAGCAGAACATTCCAAATGCTTTGGTGATGGCTTCCTGTTGTTGTTCAGATGGGGTAATTGCTGGTTACCACGTTTTCTAGTATCAATTTGCCTGTACAAAGTTAACTGTGTTTTAAACATTTTGCACAAAAAATAGATTGAAAATTCCATATCAGCAGTAGTTTGAGTTCTGTTTTCGCCTTTTCCTTACTAGAAAGAGGCTGTTGTTTGCATAAAAGAAAGCCAGCTAGTATGAGGTGTAAGCTTAATTTAATATATTGAGGTTTAATTAAGTCCATTGGCAGTATTGTTCCCATGGATATATAGAAGGTTGTCTTGGCACCTCTTTTCCTGTGTTGGTGGAAATCTGTGTGCATATCGACCTTTTTGTGCCTTGCTTCTATATATGTTGATCTTTGACTTCTCTACAACAAAGTAATATCTGGAATTTAGTAAGGGAAAAGCTTAAAGCTATCTTCCATCAGATTGTGGTGATAAATGGAAATGTTTCTTGAGTCATATGCCATGCTGAATGTTCACTAGTTTTCATTACCAGGTAATGGGGATTATGCTATTGACGTAAATGCTATCCTAGATTAGCCAAAAGCAAATCACTAGCTAATCCAAATAGAAGATTGTATTTGGAAAAATTACATGAACTCTAGTTGGTATTCAAGGGGTGAGAGCTTCTCACGCTGCCTCTTGCTTGAACTCTAGTTGGTATTCCTCTCAATCTGAGATAACTGGCTATTGGATGGGGATTTTGACTCATCACTTGCGTTACTTGATGACGGTTTGTGATGATGGACGTAGCAGCAATTCTTGTAACTAATAAAAGGAGGGGAACTTTAGAGTTTAGAGTGTTTCTAAAGGTTCATTATTCTTGTTTAGGGTGTTATGTTTACCATTCCACCCCCTTCTCCACAGAGGTGCTATTTGAACGAAGGGGAAATGAAAATATGGGGATAAGGAACATAAGTTTAGGAAAAAGGGGAAGTTGGTTTATTCTAATGCGAGGTAATGCCACAAGCTTTACTCAAGAGTCAAGACTTCTGTTTGATCTGCATTTAACCTAATAGACAAATTCTATTAATTACTTTTAATTATATTATAAGTTATCTTTAACTAAATGTAAATTCTCATATAATAAACACATTATTGGTTCAAATTTTAATTGAATTTTTTTTTAACTAAGGATACTTTCAAAATTTATAATTTAAATTCTGTAAAAAAAGAGTGATTAGTGAAAAGTGTGTGAATAAATAATTAGAAAGTAACTAGCAATGTAGCACTGTTACGAACAAAATAAAAAAAATAAAATGAGAATTTGACTTTATTGAAGAAACCTGACCTCATATGGTTTTACTGAGTAAGCCTGAACTCTTGCACAATGTGTTTTTTCTTCTAAATAATTCTTCTAATGATCTCTTATTTCATGTGATGAGAGTTTAAATAGACAAAGTACAATTTGAAAATAATAAATATCTACTACAACAACTAAACATATTGAACTAAAATAAACTACCCATTATAGCGCTTAGCTAGTAACTACCTAAAATCTATCCACTAACTTAAAATAAACCAACAATTTAGAAAATAATGAAATAATAAAATAACAAAATCATAACATTCTCTCCCCCTAAAATTAATGTTGTCCTTAGGAGTAAGATCAAGTAATTGAATCATCTTCAATGTCCACCTCTCCATCATTTTCGTCCATCACTGCTTTGATCGAAAATAACTTCTTGCAATAATGACCAGGAGCAAAAATCTTGTTGCAGCGAAAACAAAGCCCCTTCCGTCGTCTATCAGAAATTTCTTCAAAAGTCAATTGTCGAACTGGGTTAGTGTTTCTTGCCATGATTGGTTGGGGTTATGAAACCTGCTGGTTTAACACTGAATGAGCTCCTCTGTTAAAAGGAAGCTTCACATTCGGTTACTGTTACTTCTGATAAGATCAAAGTTGTGTTTAGAATATTTAAATTTAAATGTTTGTTATATAGGATAAAGGTAGTTCACATGTTAGGCTGTTTCCTACTATTTATGTAGGTTGTTTTGTATATTTAAAATAGTTGTTAAGCTTCCCTTGTATAAATATCCCTCACTGATGAGGAAGGAAATTAATGGAAAGTAACTCAGTTTTACCCAGTACTAAGTTTTTAACATGGTATCACTAGCCATCTGATCCTGGAACCCTTCTTATTTTTCTCATTTTCTCTTTCTTACACCCGACACGAACCACCCTTCTTATTCTTTTCTTTCTTACACCAAACCCGAAAACCCGTCTCCTCTCTAAATCCCTAAAATTCCAATTTCTTCAACAATGGCAGAATCCAGTCCACCACCCACCCCACCTACCTCGCCACCTAATACCCCTGCTCCCACATCTAACATCATCATCCAACAACAAGATAGCTCCTCTCTTCCCGTCACCGTCATCCTTGATGACTCCAACTATCCCCTCTGGTCCCAATTGATGGACATGCGAATTGGTGCCAGGATCAAATTCGATTATCTCACCGGAACGACGGTAAACCTCCGATCAACGACCCCACGTATGCCTCTTGGGTCACTGAGAATAAACGTGTAAAGAGTTGGCTCATTGACTCCATGAGCCCTCCCTTGATGAAACACTTCATCCGACTTGAATCTGCGCATGAAATCTGGGATGCCACTCAATGTACCTTCTACGATGGCTCAGACGAATCTTGTCTCTTTGATCTCCATCAGCGGTCGTTCAATACGAAACAAAATGGCTGGCCCCTTCCCACTTACTATAATGACCTTCTCTCCATATTCCAGGAGATTGATCATCAGATGTCATCTCAGGCTACCACTGTGACTGGGGTGATCGAAACCCACTCTGCCATGACTCGTCTCCGAGTCTACGTTC